CTTATTATTATATTTTTATAAAACCATGTAGACTGCACAACGTCACAACAGGTATCTAGGTTCTGCTCACTGAATGTACCATCCAACCTCAAGAGTAGAGAGTGCCATGGGGCAGGGCAGGATATCTGGTCAGTCTTGAACTGCTCATCCAAGCACTGGAATAAAGGGAGGCTGGTGGTATTAGAGGTGCAGCTGGAGTGGTGTTTAAGATTGCCTACAATTTTCCATTGTAAGACAGTGTTTTCAGTTGTTACAGTTTTTGCAGACCTTAACCATGCGGGTTGAAATTTTTCATGCTTGTTCTTGGCTTCAGAGGTTTTTGTTGTTTTGTTTCTTTTGAAATTTGAGTGAGAACAGTTCAGTTGTTTTTCAGTGAGGTCAGTGACAGATAGCTTTGCCATTTTTTTAAACAGTTTAATGCTTCTCTGGTTTGGAGAAGGAACTTGAAACTTGGAAGCCAGAGAGATCCTTTCCACTGTCCCTGTGAAAATTCATCCACATTTTGTCAAGTTATAAGATACAGAAAGTCCTCATTTGTGCATGCACTGTAGAACTTGTTCAACATTGGTCCTTTAGGGTACATCTACATAGCAAAATGTAGCATCAGATGTGGCATCAGATCTCAGAGCCTGGTTCAACTGTAGAGGTTCCTGCTTGGGCTGGAGCCCAGGCACTGAAACCCAGTGAGGGGGGAGAGTCTCAGAGCCCAGATGCCAGCCCAAACAGGAACCTCTACATGGCTATTTTTAGCCCCACAGTGCAAGCCTGAGTCAGTCTATGCTATTTTTAGCCTGTGGTGCGAGCCTGAATCAATTGACCCAGGCACTGAGAGTCACGGATGTGAGGGGTGTTTTGCAATGTAGATGTGCCCTTAGTTTTATGAATATTTCAGCCAAACTGTTTATGCTTCTAGGACCTACAGAATTTCCTGCATCACATGAGCTAGTGAGCCACATTAAACACAGCAAATTAGATCTTCCTGTTTCTGTTAATAATCCTTTGTACTTAAACATTATTGAGCAAGACCTGATATGTCCCGATCCTAGAAAGCAAGCCTCCTTCTTTTACTGACGAGATTGCACAACATCACAAAGAACCAGGTATCAAATATGGCAGACCCAAGGTCTCTTCCACTTAGCCACACCGTCTCTCAGAATGCATATACCTAATCTGTGCAGTTGGTTAGGATATTTGTAAAATATCCTACCTACCCACTTTTGAGATGCACACATCAATGAGCACCATGTAAATCCAAAACACCATTGACATCCAAGAGTCTAAACTCTCAGGGCTTGTCTACTCTTAAAATGCTACAGCAGCACAGATGTGCTTCTGTAGCGCTTCAATGTAGACATTATCTGTGCCGACAGGAGGGATTCTCCTGTTGGTGTAGGTAATCCACCTCACTGAGAAGCGGGATTTGGGTTGAGGGAAGAATTCTTCTGTCTACATAGGGACTTAGGTTGGCTTCACAACGCTGCTCAGGTGGTGTGAATTTTTCACACCCCTAACCATAGGCACCAATGTCTGCTCCTGCCGGTGGGTGGTTGACCTCCCTCTGCCCATGGCCCCTCCCCCAAGTCCCCACCCCTCCCCTGCCTCTTCACACCCCTGCTCCGCTTCCACCCCACCCCCATTCCACCCCCTTTCCCAAGTCTCCACCCCGCCTCTTCCCTGCCTCCTCCCTTGAGCGCACTGTGTCCCCGCTCCTCCTCCTGAAGTGCCGCCAAACAGCTGCTGGGAGGGAGGGGGAGGAGTTTACTAGTTTTCCCCCCCCCTTGTGTGTACACATTATGATTCTAACTTCAGTTACATGATGCTCCGCCACTGTATGCTATGTTAACAGATGATGACAACATTGAAGTATCTGGCCCTCAGATGTGGAACTTCCTCCCTGTGAAATCTCCCTTACTCCCTTTGGCCCTGAATTTTAAAAAGCACCAAGTCAGTTTTCCCCCAAAGGTGTTAGAGGTTGTCCTGTATTAGTTTCCTTTCATTACTGCATTGCCATCTGTCAAGGCTGCTTCCCCACTCCGAACTTTAGGGTACAAATGTGGGGGCCTGCATGAAAACTTCTAAGCTTAACTACCAGCTTAGATCTGGTCCGCTGCCACCATTCCCAAAGCTAATTCCCTTCCCTGGGAAGCCTTGAGAAACTCTTCACCAATTCCCTGGTGAATACAGATCCAACCCCCTTGGATCTAAAAACAAGGGAAAAAAATCAATCAGGTTCTTAAAAAGAAGGCTTTTAATTAAAGGTAAAAATCATCTCTGTAAAATCAGGATGGAAAGTAACTTTACAGGGTAAATCAAACTTAAAGAGCTCAGAGGACCCCCCTCTAGCCTTAGGTTCAAAGTACAGCAAACAGAGATAAACACTCTAGTAAAAGGTACATTTACAAGTTGAGAAAACAAAGGTAAACTAACACGCCTTGCCTGGCTGTTTACTTACAAGTTTGAAATATGAGAGACTTGTTCAGAAAGATGTGGAGAACCTGGATTGATGTCTGGTCCCTCTCAGTCCCAAGAACTAACAACCCCCAAAACAAAGAGCACAAACAAAAGCCTTCCTCCCTCCCCCCCAAGATTTGAAAGTATCTTGTCCCCTTATTGGTCCTTTGGGTCAGGTGTCAGCCAGGTTAC